CTCATAGTGTATATGTAATAGAAGTATGGACTTCAGACGTACCAGTCTATCGAAAACCGGCTAGTTCAGTCCGACCTTTCGAGAGAGTTTCTATCTCTATCGAAAGTTTCTTAGCTACTTAAAGTCTCCTATCAAAGTACCTGTAAACACTGTGACCATCTAAAAATACCTAAAGTTTCTTTGACTTTTAATTTGATATTTTAAGATAAATATCAAGGTAATTTTTCTTATCTATTGCAATTAATGTCAAGATAACTATGAGTGTCATTGTTCCCAAAAAAAACATGACCCAGAATTGAGATGTGAAGTTTCTGTGAAAATACTGGAAGATTGACAGACTGAGCACACTAGATCGGTGGTCACTGAAGGATTGACACACACATATAGTGTAAATATGTCAAATAAGTCCTTGAACACCGAGTCAATAATTGACAGTGTGAGTTTTCAATGAATAATTTACTGAAATTGCCATCCCTAGCCTAGAATGGGTGTTCATATGACAATATTTGTTTGAAACTCTATCTTATTTTTTCAGCCTTGGTGCTGTCAGTAATTTTTATTGTTAGCTCTACATGGTCAATTTGTATTATGAGCACATCAGCTTAAGTGCATTCTATATACATTCTTTGAAGTCCATATACTTGAAGTTTTCGTTTTTTTTCTCTATCTAGTATAAACAACTGTAGTACTACACTAAATAAATCTTTCGATGTATATGAATGAATATTAAAAAGAAAATTTCAAACATTAATACCAACCTCTTCAAGGGCTTGTTTCATTAATTGTTTATGTTCTTCTTTATATTGTTTAACAAAATCGGCTTTATATTGTTGAAGTTTTTGTTGAGCAAGTTTTGCATTTTCTCTTCCATTCACAACTTCATCAATTAATTGTCTATGAAAAAGAAAACAAATATTCGTTAAAAATGAAATTCAATTTTTTTTTTCTTATAATCAATTTACTTCATTCGTTGTTCTTCTTTAAGTTTTTCTTTAACATGATTTTCAATAGCTTCACGTGTTTGACGTTTTAATTCATCAGCTAAACGTCGATTTTCATCTACTAAACGTTGTCGTGCAAGTATAGCTTCTTCATAACTCATTTTTCCTTCTAATCTTTTTCGTTCAATTATATTCATTTGTTCATCATAATCTTGTTTTTGCATTGTTTGTTGCCATTGAAAAAATTCTTGTGCATCTTTTCCACCAGCTTCAAAATCAAGTAAACGTCGACGAACATCATCTTCTTGTTTTTTATATAATTGACTTTCTTTTAATATAGTAGCAATATTTAATTTAACTGGAATTTTATTTGTCTAATAATAATAAAGTTAGATAATTGATTGAAATAGAAATATGCTTACTTCAGTTTTTGGTGGTGGATTTGCACGAAAATGATCAAATTGAAGATTTTTATCACGTTCTTCAATTATTTTTGTTATTTTTCTATGTGTTTTAGATGATTTTTCTGTTTGTAAAAAATGATAATTTAATGTACGTGTTTGATCTAATTTATTTAAACCACGACGATGATTATCTTCACGAATTTTTTCTAATTCAACATGTTCTCGTGATGGTTCATAAGTTGTTTTAGGCACTGTACGAGATTTTTCTAATTTTGGAATCTAAAATTTACGCGGAAAAAAAAACATTAAAGAAAAAAAAAAAGAAAACTAAAATTAATTCGAACAATTTTTGGTATTGGCACAACTCGTGCTTTTGGTGCAGTAAGATTGAATGGTTGTATCTTTGTTGGTTCAGGTACTTGACGTGCTGCTGTACGTCCTTCAATAGCATCTGTAAGATCAAGTAGAATACCACGTAAATCTGGTAAATATCTATTTTTTGGAGAAAAAAAAGAAAATCAAATACGATAATAATAATAATTATTGAAAACAAATTATTTAACATACGTTTTCATAACTCGACCAATTTTATCATCAATATATTCTTGTTCATATAATTTCATACATTCTTTTTGAATTGTTTCAAGATGACTTTCATTGATTAAAAACTTCAAAAACTAAAAAGAATAATATTAAAAGTTTAAAACAGTTCATTAGTAAGTAAGCCCATTTCTTTTGAGGGCTTTTGAAGAATGACTCAAACTTTCAGAGTAGATAGATCTCAACAACTACGGTAAAAATTGTCATAAACTATAAATACTTCTTTCTAGAATACATCTGAGTTGCAATGATTAAAATTCATTCCGCTTTCTTTGTCACAATACATCCGATAGAATTGGAATTTTTTTTATAGACACTGTTTGGAGTGTCTACTCTTTTTTATCATCTTGCGGTCTAATAAAAAGGTCAAAATGCTGAACAAATCTCCAAAGCATAGGCTTTGTTTTTATTAGAGTTTCCTTTGTAAAATCTCCCAAAAATCAACGATGCAATAGTTTTCAAAACAAAAAATAAGGTAATCACTCCAAACAGTGTTCAGTACCTGTAAAAAAACGGGGGCAATTCTGTATATCCTTTTGTATAAAATTTGATCTCAAGAAAAACGAAAAATCAATTCTTTCGAATATGTCAGGACTTTTTTTTTTCTCTCAATTAAAGTTATCGAAAACTTGTCATGTTAGAGGCTCATGACCCTTGCACTTAGCACCTTGAGAAATTATCATTAGGAGAATTTCGAATACTAAGAATAATCACAGCAAGAATTTCAAGATTTAGATTTAATGAAAGTACTAATTAACAACGAAGAGCCCCTATTTATATGACATTTAACAGACGACACTCCGCAACTATATCAAAACCCGAAAAAATGTTGATTTTAACATTCAAAAAGATAGGTGATTTCCCTCAATATAGGTAACACTGTGCCAATTTAGTTTACCCATGCAAATGATGATTAAGATTTAGAGGTTGGTAGCTTCAGTTCTTAAAAATGAGAAAAAATTGGTTCTAGTCTGATTCTCAAAATATCAGAAACGTTAAGTCATCAAAAGAATACGAAAATTTTAAATATATTTTGAGAAATTTTTACTATTGAATTGTTTTGATTAAATACAAGAGTAAAATAAATTGCTGAATTAATCAAAATATAAGACATGATTATTTATAGTTTTTTTTTTCCGAGAGGTCCAATCGCTTTCAAAATGAAATCTGTTTAAGAAATATATTTTATCTTTACTTAGCTAGTTAAAGTATAAATACTTTACTTTTATAAGTAGAGTGGCACACTTAGCTATTCTTAACCTTGAAAAGTAAAAATTATTAAAAAAAATTTTTTTGAATTGTTCCTTTCAGCAACAATAAATTATCACAGAATAATAAACAAACAAATTGGAATTCTTTCAAAACTCATTTTTTTCAAAAAAAAAGATTAAACTTTAAACAGGTCATTTTTCAAATTTTGAGAATGTTCCCTGATCCGACTATAGTATAAATACTTAATCTAGCCAACAAGTAATCCATAAGAGTGATCAAATAATCACCTTTCAATTCATTATCTTCATCGAGACTTTATTTAAAAACACCTTCAATCTCGTAAACTAACAAATTGATCATTTTTTACTAGGGATCGATCAACTCCTAGTTCAAGTTCAAATCAAATTATAAGATTTGTTCCAACACTTCTTCTAATAGACACTACGAACTGTCCGAAAAATGTTTTGTTTTTCGAATGGCATTTCAGTAACAAAACACAGTTTCTTTTTGTACCCAAGAATAGAGTAAAGGTCTTTTATACCCGAAAGTGTCATTTCTAAAATAGAACAAAAGCTTAGTGTACCCAGGAGTGTCGTTCACAACACTCAATAATGGTTTTCTATACTCGAAAGTGCCATTTCCAAAATAGAATAAAGGTCTTTTATATCCGAAAGTATTATTCTCAAAACAGAACAAATGTTGTTTGTACGTGTGAATGTCACGTCCAAACTAGAAAGGATTTTTTTTAATACCCGGAAGGTTTCCTCTAAAACATACAGTGAAAATTGTTTGAATAGCTCGGTTTAAATAATACAACGTCTTCAACAGGTCCTCAAATTTCAAGTAGAACTGAATTCATCGATTTCTACTTTGTATATCTTTTTATTACGATCTTTCATATTCAATTCTCTACTTTTATTAGATACCTGATGCATTCGATTTAATTGAACAGAATGAATAAATCCACATAATAATTTTAATCCAACTGTATCAAGTTGAAAAAAAATAAGATATACAATAACTGCAAATAAAAAAAAAACATAGATCATTCAATTATATATATATTTTTTTTTCAATTGATTTTTCAAACTTTTATAAATATTATGTTCTGATCTTCGAATATGAATTCCATCTGTTGTATAAAATATATTAATTATAGTTTTAAGTAATGTTGAATGTCGTATACAATCATATAATATTGTTGATACAAATGTTTCATTGGGAACCTTTAAAAATAAATCTTTTAATACAGATAAACTACGTATAGGCTAATAAAAAATACTTTATTTTCTTGAAAATAATGTTCTAAAAATGTTTCTTCTGATATATTATTATCATATTCATTTAATACTTGTACACAATGATAAAATAATTCACTGTATGCATTAGCATTTCTGTCCATTGCGAATGAATGAAAGATTAATTGAATGAAACAACCATTAGTAATGTATGTACCATGACAACCAATGGAATGTTTAGAAACAGAAAATATTTTATAATTTAAATAATCATATGAATGATTGTGTTTTTTATTTTAATCTTTAATATAAAAGAAAGAAAAACGAAATATCTTTTTTTTTTGTCAACGAATTTTTTCATTAGTTAATCTTATATCAAATAGAATTCATGATTAATTTGTCTGTCAATCATTCTTTTCCTTCCTTCGTTGTGTTTATTCACATCCCGAATAGTTCTTTTATTTCCCTATAGTGTTGATATTTATCAAGGTCGAATGTATATCCAAATCGTTCTAGTTCTATTTTCTCAAAGTAATATTTTATTTTTTCTTTGAAATCAATTTCTTTTTTGTTTCTCATTATTTTATGTTCAATTTATAGTTTTAATGTCATTTACATATAAAACAAGTCCTACACCATGGTTTTGTACAGATCTAAATGCATTAGATTCAAGTGTTGAAATATCTCGAAAACTTCCATCATGTTTACCAGGTTATGCTATTGATATAGAAGATGTTGTTTATGAATCAACAATTGATGGTACATGTTCTGGTAGAAGTTTATGTAGTTCACATAGTAAAAATCCTCTTACATTTGCATGTAATCATAAACAAACATGTGATATTGATATACGACATTTTCGTTTTCATATTAATGATACATGTGGTTCAACAGTAAGATTTTTTACTAAATATCGTTGTTTACCTGTTATACAGGAACAAAAAGATTATTTATGTGAATCATCAACACGTCGAACAAATTTAGCTGATATTAATCTATCATGTGATAGATATTATCGTCTTCATATAACAATGGCATTAGTAGGAATTAGTGTTAGACCAAAAGATGATGTTAATAAAAATCGTTTTAAATGTAATAAAAATACATATTGGCTTTGTAATCATTATATACCTGATGCTTATCGAAGTGTTTGTAATGATCAATTAAATTATGGTGGTGGTGAGCATTGTAAAATTCGATATAGTGATCGACCAAGATTAAAAGGATGTTTACATGGAGAAGCTTCAAATTTTTCAATAGTAGAATATTCATGTATACCAGGTAATTTAATAGGAAAAGCAAAGAAAAAAATGTGCTTTAAAATTGAATATAAAGAATTGTTTATTAAAGACATTTGATGAATAAAAGAAAGAAAAAATATCCTTGCCTTTCAGCTACCTTTCATATCGTGGTGCTGCCTAGTAACGGATTTAATAGTTCAATGTCTTCCTTACAATTAATATTGCCTGTAGCTTTGGAAAAAAAAGTCAACCTGACGCCGAGTTCAGATGCTCAATCAATTGAGCAATTCGTAGGCAGTGACTAGGCACACAAGTATTTGTATAGAACAACAGATAATAATTTTGTTTTATTAAAAAATGAGTTCTATTTATAAAGAAAATGAAAGAATATATTCTGGAACGAAAGGCCATGATACTTATACTATGTTTTAGGACTAAATGTTGGATATCTTAGTCCTAATTGACTTTCTATTTATCATAGATAAAACTGTCAGATATATCTTGCTGTAGAAGTCCCAGGATATTATCGATCAATTATTCAAAACAAAACTTGATAATTATATCAATATTATATAAAAATTTATTTTACAAGTTTACAATATTTTTTATAAACCTTAATTAATCTATAAAAGACAACAGACATGAGAATTTCATTCTACACTTTAAAAAAGACATCTACCTATGAAAATTATGTTGTTTTTATTTATATAGGTGAAGGTATAATTGAAGATCTTCCTCGAATAGATATTTGTTCAAGTATAACATCTGATCGTATACTTATAAATCGTGGTCTTCTTCATTCTCCTAATTATCCTGAATCAGTAGGACAATATGTATCATGTATAAAAAAATTATATGTTACACGTGAATCTCGTTTACGTTTATTTATGCTTGAAAAATCAATTGCATATTCTCATGATTTAAATATTCGTCTATTAAATAATGAACCAAATATACAACGTACATTAGCTAAAAATGAATTATTTGATACAAATATAACTAGTCAACGTCGTGATGAAATTGTTGAAATTGAATTAAAAACAAATCATAATGGTGTTGGGAAGTTTTTACTTTATTTTCAAGGTAAAACTATTTTTTTTTTCGTTTGTTGTTCTCGCACAGTCGCAATCACCAACTGCTTCTTTTTTGTCATATAATTATCATATATAACAAAAAAGAAACAAACGAAATGACTGTTATGCATTTGTCATGTCATTTTTATGATTAATGATGAGCATGCATCGATCATTAACGAATACTAATTTATTCTAGTTGATTCACGCATTTCGGAATATGCAGTATCGGTTCTTGAAACTGATAAAACATCATATGATTATACTCAACGCGAAAAAACTTTGATTAAACGAGATTGGGGTAAGTCAACAAGTATTTGTTCATCAAGATATCTTATTTCCGTTTGTTTTTTTTGTAAATCTCTAAACGATTGGTTATCTATAATATGATTGTAAATAACAAATATTATTTATAGAACGAGACCGGGTTACTATAGAAGCTATATAGAACGCAAGATAAATGTTTTTTTTATAACAACGTGCTGTAATTATTAATTCTGGTTGATGAAATATGTAAATAAGAATATAAAATATTCGATGTTATTTTATCTTGGAGAAAGTTCTTCAAATATGAAAACAAAACTAGAGAAAGAAAAACATGTGAAAATTCATTATTATAAAGATTCAAAGAATAAGAGAATTTTTATTATTCTATCATTTTTTATTTAATTTGATAATATGTAAAGAACTGCTAACTATAGATTGTAGGTCACATAATCAATGAATATAAGATCTTGATTCAATGTATAAATAGAAAAAGTAAATACTTCAGTGATTTGATTGTCTCATGTTACTTTTTAATCGAAAATATATGAGTATAGTTAATCGATTTTAAGAATGACGTTGTCGAAAATTAATCCGTATCCTTTGAGAATTGTTTAACATTGAAAAAAATTTCTTGATAACTTATTGTAATCAAAGAAAAAAAAACGCAATCAGTTATGTTTTTCAAATCTAAAAGGGAGAAGTCCTCTAACTGATAAATTGCTTTTTAAATCGACCGTATGTACATTATGTAGACGCAAATGAGCTATTAATAACTTGAAAAAAATTCATGCTGTTAATTTATTGTCACACACTTTTACGGTAGTTTTTTAATGAATGTCGTCATGATAGAAAAATCAACCTTAAAGAGAATAGTTTTTTTTTGTGAAGGTTTCAGACCTTGTAGCTATTCTTATCTTTATGTACAACTATGATAATAGTATATCTGTTACATTGCTGATATAAACCTTCGGATTTGATGTTCTTATTTGAGGATAAAAGCAAATCAAACGATATGAAAATTTTCTCATTAAGCACGATTTCCATGCAAAATTACAATTCATAATTCAAAAATTAGTTTTTTTTTTGTCGTCATGACATTCATTAAAAGAAAGTACTCTAAAAATTTGACAATAAGATAAGAGCATTAACTCTTTTCTGAGTATTCATATCTCATTTGGATCTACATAATGCACATAATCCTAGCTTAATAGGGATTTATCAGCTCAAGGATTTTCCTTGAATATAATATTTTCTTTTTTATTTTTATAGGCATTGCTATTGGTAGTATAATCGGTATTATTCTTGTTTTTCTTCTCATTGCAATTGTTATTGTCATTGTTCGAGTTACAAAGTTTGTTCAGTTTTTTATTCCTACTTTATGCAATCAATTGAAATATCTTTTATTTTAGACGTCGTCGTACACGAACTCTAAAATATTTAAAACCTGATGATGATCATCGTCAACATTTAAATGCATCTGCTTCTTTACATGATCGTCATCATCCTACGAAACCCATTCAAATTGAACATCCACATTTATCATCAACTTCACCAACAATTATTTCATCATCAAATATAATTAATGATAATGTATCAGATCGTGAAACTCTTCTTAAACATCCTTCACAAATAAATACAATAAGTACGAATATTGATAATTTTTATGAAGAAATAAAAGAAAAACAACAACAACAAGTTAATTTAACTTTAGGAAATATGTATAATACAAATCATAATATTGAACCTAAATCATTTGAAGAACGAAAATTTCTTGAAGCTAATAAATTTTCACAACCAATTCGTGATCATCGTGAGGTATTCTATTATGAATGTGAAAGATAAGCTTTACTCCGAGTTTTGCAAAAAAGAAAGGCACATGCTTCTTCTTCTTCTTCTTCTTCTTCGTGTTGTTGTTTTTATTATTATTTCACTCAGGTATTTTTTTTCCCTATTTATTTTAACATCGATAATTTTTGTGTAAAAATTCCTTTCCAATATTTTTATTTTGATTAACATTCTAGTCATTGTATTTAAATATATATTCGTTTTTGTTTATTGTAAAAACAAAATAAAAATTTAGTCAATTATTGCCTTAATTCTTTTGCTTTTGCTTATTATCAATATGCACTGCTTTAATTGTCATAGTCTTAAATTTAAAAAAAAAAATTCTATTGATTATTTGTCTATAAATATACTTAGAATGAACAACATCCTCATCGAACAGCACCATTGGCTACACCAGAACAAGCTAAACGACGTACAGGAACTACATTATGTGATGCACCAATGGCTAGTACAGAAACTTTAGATGTGGGAAATATTACAATAAATAGTGAACGTATGAAACGTCCAACACAAGAACCACCAAAGATTCCACCGCCACGAATGGATTTAAATCATCCAAAACCTAGTGCACCACCAGTTCATTTATTAGAAAATGATTTAAGTGAAAATATACGTCCACATTACCGTTTACGTCAAGTTCAACAATTGAATAATAAGAACCAAAATGTTTAGAATAGAAAACAGTGAATAAAACCCTATTTCTATATTTATTTTGTGCAACCAGATCAAATAATGATCGCATATAACTTTTGCTTGTCTAGTCCATTTCATTTCTGTTACATTATATATTCTCCTAATGCAATTTTATTAGTTCAAAAAAAAAAATAAATCCATGATAATATTGAAAAAAACAATTCTTTTGAACTCTTTTTTATTTTCGCTTAATTATCTGTTAAGTATATCGATATATATGAAAGTTAAGTTGTTGTTATTGTTGTTCTACTTTGATGATGTGTAGAAAATAAGTGTGCCGCTCTTTTGGTTTCAATGAGGGGATTTATCAGACAAACGTATATATAGAATAGAATAATTATTGTTAATTGCGAGTCGTCTCCTCGTTGGTTCACACACTTTGCTTTCTCTCTCTCTCTTTCTCTGTTGGAAGTAATACATACATTGATTTAACGTATGGAGAAGAAAACAATTGTTTTCTTCTTTTCACATGATCAGAATGTATATAATCGTTTAGCAACCAAGCAATTCCGCAATCGTACTGACATTCCAAAGACGTAACTTATTTGTTATCGATTATTTGACATAGGAATAAAACAAAAACAATATGAATGATTATCATGATCGAAAATCTTTTAATCTGCATGTTTTACGTTCAAAAATTGTCAATTGGAAACAAGGACATGAAGATAATGAACATAGTCAACGTGCAGTAGATTTTCTTATTAAAAAATTAAAAAATTCTGATGGTACAAATATCATTGTTTATTTGTTTGTTTTTTGTAATCAAATCTTTTATTTATTTATTAGGTGTACTTGATTCATTAGCTACAGTTTTATTAAATCCTAATTATCCAAGTCCATGTATTACAATTCCACCATCAGTTGATAAACGTATACAGATTGTCTATCGAAAAGAATTTCCACATGTTGTTTATTGTCGTTTATGGCGTTTTGCTGATTTACAAAATTATCATGAATTAGTTCCATCATCACAATGTCGATATCCATTTTCACCAGGAAATAATCGAAATCAAAAACTTGTTTGTATTAATCCATATCATTATGATCGAATACCATCACAAGGTAAATGAAAAAAAGAAACCGACACTCTTTACAACATTTTTCCTTAGTTCTTCCATCAATTATTGAACCAAGAATAAATAATGAAAATACACCACCAACACCACCACCATCTTCATATTCACCTGATCAATGTGAATATATATTTGATAATTTTTAAATAAATCATTATATATTGAATTTAGATTCTCCACAATGGACACATCATCAAATATTACCACCATGGTGTACGATTAATTATTATGAATATAGTAATAAAGTTGGTGAACAATTTCGTGCATCATCATCACCAATCATTGTTGATGGATATACATCACCATATAGAAATTTTAGAAAGCGATTTAGTTTAGGTTTATTAGAAAATGTTAAACGACAAAAAGGTGTCGAATATGTTCGAGCATCAATCGGTAGAGGTATGTATATAAATATAGGATGAAGACGAAGGATTGTTACATTAAGTATTTTGCAAATATCTTAGTAAACAAAGATCGTAAAGTTTTGAGTTTTTTTCAAAACATGCATTGCTCAATTCCCGACAAAAAAAATATTACAAAATTTTTAAGGCTTGTTTTCATGAACTTCTGTAAAACTAAGATAAACGATATATGCTATGTTGATAGGTCCCATTATATCGAAAGTAAAAACATGTTTGTGATAATATATATTTTATTTATATCTTTGCATCGAGTATAGATGTATAGAATCAGTCGGGGTCCTGATGACCGAGGTTAAGAGAAAAAGTTTATCTGAATCTGGAAACCAAGTTTGTAATAAAATATTCTATGGTTTTAAGCAGATTGACTTATAAATCAGAACATAATTCGAACGAGATGACTCATTTAAGTACTTGTCATCGACTAAATAAATCAAAAAAAAAAACGAGTGCTGAAGAATTATTTTAGATATGACACAAGTAAACTTAGGAATATTTTTCTCTAGATTGGGCTGAAATTATTAGAAAAAAGGTTGTCAGGATCGGGCCAAGACCAGGATTAGGCCAAATTGATTGGGACTACATCGACTTTACTGGAACTATGACTAGAACAGGAACCAAAAAAGAACAGATAGATCATAAAATTGAATATTTTTTAAAGAGATGTCTCGTGAAATTCTCTACAATAGGTTACGTAAACGATTCTCTCAACTTTTGATAATGAATTTAGTGAGAGCTAAAATGAAAGATATATAAAATATTCTAATTCTTCACTCATCGTAATTCGTTTCTTCTTTGTATGTAAGCAATGATTGTAATACGGCGTACTTTTAATTCTTTCTAGAGATTTTCAAATATCAGAAGAATGATATTGTCTGTATAATGTTAATGAGTTATGAGATCTTATTCAAGAGATTTGATTTAAATCGTAAATTTATGCTCTCTAGATAAATTTATATTAGAGTGAGAAATTAGAGCTTTTTATTTATTCTAGTTCTCTCTAGATTCATTATTACAAGTCGAAATAATCTTTTATCTTAACTAATGTAGATAATTTCGTGATGCATCTTTTAAAATATTTGCAGGATATCCGATGTTTTAATCATTATGCCTCACCCTATGTTTATATAAAAATATTAAATTAAAAAAAAAACACCCTATTTTTCTCTAGGTATTGAATTAATCGAAGAGCCTAATGGTGATGTATCAATACGAAATCGTTCATGGTCATGTTCGGTATTTGTTCAATCAATACTTTATAATCGTTTAAATGGTTTAAGTGATTCAACTGTTTATCATTTACAAAGTCGTCGATCAATACCTTCAATATTTAATTTATCAATTATTACTCAACTAGTGAATAATCCATCAGCTACATATGAATCAATACTTGATTTAACTAAATTATGTACAATACAAGTTAGTTTTAAATATGGTTGGGGTTATGATTTTGGTCAACGTGAAATAACATCAACGCCTTGTTGGTTATCAATTCTTATCAATGAACCACTTCGTCTTATTGATACTCGTTTACAGCAATTACAACCTCAACAAGCAACAACATCTAGCTAATCAAACTTTATGTTTTTTTTTTTTTTTTTTTTGTTTTTTTTCTTTTCCTTTGTATTCAAAACTAACGACTAACTGGAATATACAAAAAAAAAGGAAAGAAAGAAAAAACACATGTTGCTCGCAGCTGTGTACTCGACATTTTTCTCTTATAATTTACCGCAAAGTGTAGATATTTTTGCCATAGACAACAACGTCGACGGTGCGACGAGTTTGTCTTAGGAAGAAAAAAAAGAATATATTTTTTTTCCTTTATTCTTGTTTTCGTCAATGTTGTAAAGCAAGAAAAACAACAAAATTCAATCACCAAGCCAAAAACAAACTCTAATTAGTTCGATGTCGATTAATCATAATAAGAGAAAAAAAGGAATGCATGGATGCGTAATTTATTTGGTTTTTTTTCGCTTTCTCCGAGATCATAAAAAAAAGGTCGTAGTCTTTTCTGGTTCGAGCAGCATCTATGTTCTAACCTATATTTTTCTATAATAACACCATTGATGATGTGAGAAAGCAAAAAAAAAAACGAACAGCGAGAATGTAAAGAAGTAAATATGATTAAAGCACGAATCGTCCTCTTCAGAGGTAGTTCTATCGTACTGTGAACGTTTTTGTCAAGGCAAAATATTTTTTTTTCATGATGGAAGACAGAAAGGGAGCAAGCGAAAGAAAAAAGAAAAATACACAGCAAAATAGAGAAAAAAAGAGACATACAGACAAAAACAACCAAGTAACATATACGAGCAAAAATATTTTCTTTCGTTTCATCGACGGCTAAGACATCAGCCCGGGTAGAAAAGAGAAAGTGAGAGAGAGAGAGAAAAAAAGAAGGAGTAGGGGTCTCATAGTTGCTGGGTACTGATAATATAAAGGCATCGAAAGAAACAGAGAAGCTCTCAGCACTGCGACAGAACACAATCAGCAGTGAGTCTTTCTACTATCTGTCTTCATACAATATAACGACAGTTGCATCTGAAGCTTCTTAATCAACATTGCTGCAATATCTATGCTAAATAATAAAGGTTGTGCTTACATATGATTTGATAAGTAAAGATGAATCTCGGGTGCCTCGATGTCAATATATGTAAGTAGAGTAAATAATCATATGATGACTTTTAGTTCAATATTACATTTCCAGGTTTTTCTTTTCTTTTGTTTTTCTCATTGATTATTTATTTTAACAAAACGAAAAAATTAAGAATATTATTATTATTATTATTATTATTATTATTACTATCATTGTTTTTTTTTCTCTTCATTAATCATTTCTTTTTTTAAATGATTACTAAATTTGGAATAGTCGACACAGATAGAACGAAAACAGCTGATCATACTTTTATCTTTAAGTGCACCCTTTTCGCTTGGTAAATAACTACACAAGCAAATAATATATGTATGCATGTGTTTTTTCTTTTCGTTTCTTTAATATCGAAATAATGCTTGTTTGTTAGATGTTTTGCATACGGTCGTCATCAACATCATCTCATATTTTCGACTAAACACTCATATTGATTTAATTTATAAAAACACAAAAATATACTTTAAAAGAAAACTTTTATAATAGATTAAACAAAAACACTATTCAACATAAGAGTAAATGTGTGAATGTATGGCATATAGGAGCAAATATTTCATCAGCATATTTTTAACATTTTTTTTTAGCAATCAAGAATATTGAATTAGATGTAAAGATTTTCATGAAATGAAAAGTTTAAGTATTTATTATTTTAATGGCAAGAGATTGTTTTTGAATATATATGAAATTTTATCTTTGCTTTTTGCTTTTTTATACTTATAGATTTGATCATCTTATTGATTTAAGCATAAATTATCGATAAAAGGATTCGACTATCTCGCATAATTAAAATAGATGAACTTTCTTTTTGCATGTTTTTGAAAGAAATAAACAACTTTAACT